GACATCGGACTTCTCAATTTAGAATTCGTTATCCCGGTCAGTGTATTTCCAATGACCGTTGAGTCCACGGAGTCGATTCATGATTCAACCATTCATGATTTGGTTCAAATACCGTATATCTGTACACCCACCAGTCAATGTCAAGTCAATTGAGTCAAATTGACTAACGGCTGTTTTTTAGCCGTTAGCAGAAAGTTGTTTTCTGCACTGGAGCCCCCCTCTAACACCTCCTACGAACTTGAAATTTTTTACAAGGGATGGGCAAAGTATTCTCTAGCGCTTTGAAAAGGTTTTAGGTCCGTAGGTGCTTTTTGAAATTTTTGCTTTGTCCCCAGAATTCCAAATTCCACACGAATTTTGGGTGGGTATTTCGTGGATCGGGGTCATAACGTTCGTCTTTTCCGCGCGAAAACACGAAATTTCGATGATCGGAGAATCTCGAAATACACGTTTTTGCCACACGGTCCAGCCAACTCCAAGACTTTCAACAACTAAAGCGGTTTGGGATTTAAAGCAATTTAGGATTCAATTTTTCAACTATGGAAGACAACACATTTATACGCAAGCTTTCAATTCAAGAATACAGCGACGAGTAGATTGACACAGATGCTTTTATATCAATTTTAACTGAATATAGACACTGTAAAAATGATCAAAGATAATATCATGACGCCATCTCTTGTAGATCTGTATCACTGTTCCCAAATGTTGACATGGACCCCTGCCCTCGGTCAGATCCCGTATCGGGACCGTTCGGAATGCCGGATCGTTGCGCCAACATTTTCCCCTTTTGAAATTGTCCCAACGGAACTTGATCCATTGCCACATCTGCAGCCCTTTTGGAGGTTCCCTCCGATTGTTCTCGTTCCGAGTCGATTCCCGAGACATGCATTGGAAGAGTTGTACCTTTCTCGAATACCCCCAAAGGAACTGCTTCCATTGGCAACTCCCCGGGGAGAGATGCATTTGGATTCGCCCGTACTCGATGTTTTGCCAGATTGCCATTGGTGCCATTTACATTTTGCTGCTGCTCCCCATGTGGCCCACTACCATTTACCATGGCATCGTTCTCCTCATGGATTTCATCCGGCGCGCTTGATAATGGGCCTCCCAGCAATATCCTATCGTTTTGTGGCACGATTGGAGATCCAATGGACATGATGGTTTGCAGTGGTTTATTCAACACTGATCCAACAAACTCATCCTGATCTTTGGGTTGCATATTTTCCGTTTCCTTGAAGGTGACGGAGCGTCTCTTGGGACCAGCATTCGTCGTACTTGTCACTCTTGATTTTGGTGGCATCGATGAATGCAGAGTCGGATTCTTCCCTGGTTCATTTCCAGGGCGATGGCGACGCAGAGGAGATGGTAGCGAATTGTGTGACTGCGACAGCGACTGCACAGAACTTGTATCCTCATCGTCCCACGCAAACACCACTTCATTCTCAAAGACTTCTCCCAGTGTCACGCAACCTACCCTAAGCTCTTCCCAGTCGTCTCTGCCTAACGATACCCCAGTCAAAAGTGAAGTGTTCACGTTTGCTAACATGCGTTGCACGTCAATCATTCGCAGTAGCAAACGACGTCCAGGAGCCTCCGACTCACTGATCCGAATCTTATCGTGGGATAACCTTGGATTCATATCTATTGATTCGACAACGACAGCTGCTGGCATGGAGGCATTACCAAAAATTACTAGCAGAAAACCTACTGGTGCAAGTGGTTGAACATGGCCACAAACACTTGCTGATGGAAGAGATCACGGAACACCGTTCTAACAAGAAAGCAGTAAAGAAACAAGACGGTTTTTATAGCTTGAAGAGTGTAACGCAACGAAGACGACATACTACAGCAGGTTGGGACTTTTATGTCACTTGGAAAGATGGTTCCTCGAACTGGATACCTTTGAAAGACATGAAAGAGTCCTTCCCAATTGAAGTGGCAGACTATACAATAAGCAAGGGCATTCAAGACAAACCCGCTTTTGCATGGTGGGTACCACACATTGTTCGAAAACGCGCACGATTCCTTGGCATGGTCAAATCAAAGTACTGGGAACGTACACACAAGTACGGGATACGTATCCCAAAATCAATCAGAGAAGCCATCAAAATCGACAAAGAGAATGGGGACACCTTATGGCAGGATTCGATCCAAATGGAAATGAAGAAAAATCGAATAGCCTTGAAGAATTCGATGGGGATGTTGAGAAGTTGATGGGATACAAGAAAATCACGGGACACTTGGTATTTGATGTGAAATTGGGAGAAAACTTCCGAAGGAAAGCCAGGTACTGCGCTGGCGGACACAAGACTGAAGCACCAGCAGCATTGACCTACAGCACTGTAGTATCTCGTGATTCAGTTTGGATACTACTCATGATAGCAGCGCTAAACGGATTAGACTTGCAGTGTGCGGACATACAGAAGGCTTTCCTCACTGTACCGGTACCAGCAATCGAAAAGTGCTACATGGTAGCAGGACCCGAGTTTGGGGACAGAGAAGGCAAAGTTTGCATTGTAAGAAGGGCATAATATGGTCTAAAAGGATCATCAGCGGCATTCAGGTCACATCTGGCAGAGACATTGGAGGAATTGGGCTTCTGGTCGTCCACTGCCGATCCTGATGTTTGGATGAGGGCTGCTGTTAAACCTGATGGGGAGGAGTATTATGAATACATCCTTTGTTATGTTGATGACATACTATGTATGTCAATGAAAGCCAAAGAAGTAATGGAAGGAATCGGAAAGTTGTTCAAATTCAAGAAAAGGAAGATTGAACTTCCAGAGAGCTATCTAGGAGCCAGATTGGACGGAGTCGATATGTGGACAATGTCTAGCTATGACTACGTTGTGGCAGCCGTCAAGAATGTTAAGGAGACGTTGAAAGGTAACACCAAGTGGAAACTACCCAAGAACGCGCCAACACCAATGACAAGCGCTTACGAACCGGAGATGGATGGATCAAGCTAATTAGGACAAGGAGATCATACCTACTTCCAAGAATTGATTGGAATGTTACAATGGGCAACGGAGATTGGACGAGTTGATATCTTATTTAAAGTCTCATTACTGAGCCAATATCAAGCAGCGCCAATGGAAGGACACATGGAACAAGCATTGAGGATATTTGCTTTCTTGGATACGTTTCCAAAGTTGACCTTGTACTATGATTATAGGGCACCAAACTTGGATTACTCCAAATCGAGGTCCTCTAGAGAGGATTTCCAGGCATACTATCGAGACGCAAAAGAGGAAATACCGCACAACGCACCCAAACCAAGGGGACAAAGCATAGGGAGTACCGCATGGGTAGATGCTTCTCACGCGAAAGTCGCATACGGGTTACGTGATTTTCCTCAATCGAGCACCCATATTGTGGCACAGCAAAAGGCAAAATACGGTAGAAGCGAGCACTTTTGGTTCGGAGTTTATCGCCCTGAAAGCATGTATTGAAGCCATCACACATTTGAGGTTCAAGTTGAGGATGTTTGGAATCCCTTTGGAAGATGAACCCACACACATATTTTGCGACAATGAGAGCGTGGTGACAAATGCAACAAAGGTCGAATCGACCTTGAACAAGAAGCACAATTGCATAGCATACCATTATACGAGATGGAACGTGGCTGCTGGAGTTGTCGATGTATCATGGACACCAGGGATGTTAAACCTCGCTGATGCCTTCACGAAGCAATTGACCCTGGAAAGACGGGGACGCCTGTATGGTGAATGGACGTACTAGTCATATTATCGAACTGAATTCCATCGTTGGTACCCAGTTCAAGGGGACCAAATAAAGGTGACTGTGCTATTGGATACGAGATGCGTCGTACTGATACAAACGTGTACGATTGCAAGCGGTCCGTGAGTAGTAAGGATAAATCGGCCGCTTACAAAAGCCGCCAATGAACGATGAACACACTCTTTCTAAGAATACGTTTGATTGCAATACTGTCTACCGTCTATCATAGCTACTACTTTGTAAGTCAACAACATCGTAACTTTGTAACGATAATATTTATGAAGTGATTACGAGGCGAAAATTCATTCAGATCCTATCCTTTATTTTCTCGTGGCGCTCTACGTGAAAACCGCTAATTTGATACGCGTGTACGGCTGGAGGCTGCTTCATTTGGTATGGAACTGCTTCTCTTCATTCTCTTTGGAGTCTTACGATAGTGGCAGATGAAAAGTGACCTTGGTTTGAGTTTGAGAAGTGTTACAAGTGTCACAGCAAGGGACATTGAAGAGGGTGTTTTTGGTGTGATTGCTTGGTCTTGAAGAGGAAAAGTAGTATTTGAAGATCCTGGTTCTCATTTTAAGAAGCTTCCTGAGACTGTGGACCGCACTGTGGACGAAAGTTACAGGGGAGCAGGAGTTTTTACGGGATTATTTACCTGACCCCCGTAACTGCACAAATTTGAATATCGTACCAGTCCACGTCACGGAGCTAGGATATTTACCAGGTTTCATGGTTTTTTACGGGAAATAGCAGTAAAAACAGGGATTTTTCCCGGAATTAAGGAATCTTCCTTGTAAAAATTCCTAAAACCCTGTAACAACAAGTATCCCTGGACTCCCGTAAAAACCCATGTACCCTGTAAATCAATATTCAAATCATAATGATGAGAGCCAGCATGTGCAAATGACTGTAATACCTCAGTTTTAAAAACGAAGTTTACTTGCACCAATAGCATTCTTGCTTTTGGGGTGTAGCGCAATATACGAAGGGGATCAATAAATCAATATAAAGAAATAATAAAGGATATCTATAGTCTGCTCTCTCATTATAATAGGCTCTTGAGGCATTTAGAGATGAATATACGGTAAGAGACAGCTTTTGCTCGATTGCATATCTGTTCTGCGCAGATTTCAGTTTTCGCCTTCAAATAAAGAATCCACGCTCTGGATTGATGTTGAAACCCTCGATGTGATACCACGCCGCAAATGTCAATGTAAACACACACCACTACGTATCTCTTCTCTTCCTGATCCATCACCGCACTCCCTGGCGGAAATTTTTGAATGTTTCCAATATTTGTGTGCCTTCGGCTGAAATATATTGTTGGCCATTTTGCCATTTACATTCACTATGTTCCCAGAATTCAACAATGATGTTAGAACGGGAAATATGAATTATGGTCTCGCCCCAGAAGACGAAGTTCGTTCTTACCCACTATATACATCTTGAACTACATGGCTTGCCTTTATTGGAGTCGGTCTGAGATCATTCCACAATTGTTAGTTTCTTGCAATTTTGCGATGATCGTCATGTAAACCACATCATCTAGGTACGCACCAAACCCTTTGGGAACAAATTGAATAGCATCTTTCCATACATCTTCGATCAGACCGTTCTCGTAAGATAATCACTGTATCGAACCATAGTTATTCACTCATCCTTTACCATTGAGCGCGGACGAGTCCACAATATCATCAAGCTCTGTCCTCGCTTTTCGTCTCTTATTTTTTGTTGTTGTCTTCAGACGA